AAATGGCAACATGTGCAAAATAAGTATAATATACTTTACCATTCACTAGAATCCAAGACATTTTCAAAGCAAACTCCATGCAAACTATTCTTAATTTGCAGCCAAGCCTTGAAGCTGCAAGACTATTCAATGTTAATCAAGGTGATCAACTGCAGCATTCACATTTGTCTCAAACAGACAAGAGTTCTTTCTCCCACTCTGGACATCACACAGATATAAGCCTCACTTGCCCTGTTTCCAACATACCTCACAACCTCTGGGGATACCTGCCATGAATGTGGGCAAAACATCAGGAGACAATACTTCTGGAACATGTCTTTACAGCTCAGAAAACTCACAGTAACCCAGATTCCAGTATTCCACAGGATGCAATTTGAGCAGTTAAACGTGTGATGATGGTGTTGCATTAAAGGATCTTAAGTAAAAGAGTGAAAACATGGCTTTGTGATCCAGCCTTTGGAGAATCTGTGCAATAGATAGATATGGAAATATGTGAAATGATTATTGGAACGGCCCGGATTACGATTGTGGATAGCGTGGTTAATGGTGAAGCTATTGTTTTAAATGTTTCAAAATGTTTTAATGCATTTTATAATTCTATTTTAAATATTTATTTAAATTGTACATTGTTTTAAAATATCAAATAGTTGCCTATGTGTAAAGCCACCCTGAGTCCCCTCTGGGATTGAGAGAGGCGGGATAGAAATGTCATAAATAAATAATAAATAGATCTTTTTAATAGACACAATTCAATGTACTGCTGCCAGTGGTAGCAAGCTACCAATAGAGGGCTTTGGCTTTTAAGAGCTATACAAGGGAGAGCAGCCTTGTTCTTCTGGTCTCTAAGATGTTGCACTGGTTCTCCAACTGCTTGTGCAGTCAGTTGCACAAACTGCTGTGCAACTGGAAACTGCACTTAACCCCTTCTTTTTTCCATATAGCCCAGAACTAGGAGTGTCCATGAGGAAGTTACCAGTATAGGTGCTAGTAGAATAGGTGTATTGGATGCTGACCACCATTATCCATTATGATTTGACTGTCTATGTGTGTGTGTGTGTGTGTGTGTGTGTGTGTGAAGATAGATTGATTGATAGATAGATAGATAGACAGACAGTCAGATACATACACACATTGAAATAAGATACCCAAGGATGTATTATTTATTGATTTATTTACAATATTTTTATCCCGCCTTTCTTGAACCCGAAGGTGACTCAAGATGGCTTACAACAGGCAGCCATTTGATGCTTTACAATATACATTAAATGACATAAAATGACATTTAAACAAAAATTTAAAATACATTAAATAAAATCTTTAAAAACATATAAAACCAATGCCTTCATTGTTAGTCTCATTGTCCAAAAATCATTGTCTGAGCCATTCCAATGTTCGATTTCAACTAATTCCATGTTTGACTGTTGCATTAGATTCCAAAGGCTTGTTCAAATAGCCACATTTTCACTTTTTCCTGGAAGGTCAAGAGGGAGGGGGTGATTTAATATCCCTGGGGAGGGCGTTTCACAGCCAAGGGGCCACCACTGAGAAGGCCCTGTCTCCCATCCCCGCTAGTTGCGCCTGCAAAGAAGGCGGGACCAAGAGCAGGGCATCCCTGGATGATCTTAAACTCCTAGATGGTTCATAGGGAGAGACATGTTTCAACAGTCATGCTGGGCTGGAGCCATTTAGGGCTTTAAAGGCTAAAGTCAGTACTTTGAATTGTGCCCTGTAGCAAATCGGCAGCCAGTGGAGCTGGCGTAACAGAGAAGTTGTATACTCCCTGTATGCTGCTCCAGTGAGTAATCTGGCTGCCACCCATTGGACCATTTGAAGCTTCTGAACGGTCTTCAAAGGCAACCCCACGTAGAGCGCGTTGCAGTAGTCTATATGGGATGTAACCAGAGTGTGGACTACCATGCCAAGCCAGACTTCCCAAGGTACAGACGCAGCTGGAGCAGCCCATAATCATAACAATCATTGTGATGATTATTTTACATATTGATAATGAAATTGTGCAATGTGTTCATAAGAATAACATAACATTTAGTACTACCCGTATGTGTGCTCGGGGAGATAAGGCAGCTTACAAATAAAGTCTTACTATAGAATTGATAGGAGCTATCCTCTGTATCATAGTGTAATCTTCCTGGTCTGAGTGCTGGACTAACACTATGGGAGACCAGAGTTAAAATACCCATTCAATTATGAAAACTCATTGGGTGATATTGTGTAAGTCATCTCAGGGAATCAGTTCTAAATAAATTTTGCCAAGTAAACCCTAAGAAAGGGTTGCCATTGGACTTGACTTTAAAGGACGTAAGAATAACAAACCTTCTGTATTGACATATGATGCTATACAAATATGTTGTCTACTCTCTCTAGAAATGAGTCTCATTGAACTCATTAAGAATGTACTTCTGATTAGCCTTGTATCTAATACCATTGTTCATGTAGAAGGCTGGGCATCTGTGAATTGCTCACCTAGCTTCCATTTAAAGGGTTAACATTAATATATAGGAATTGATTTGCATTTTGTTAAGCTCTAGGGGAAAAAAGGCGTAATTATTAGGCCTCAATATGTAGTGGTCATCATCAAACCCTTAGCAAACTCTGGAGCTAATGGAATGCTTAATGTAAAAGCTAAATAAGTAATTAATGAGTACTTCTGAGGATTCAAAAGAATTGTTCTGTGCATAGATATTGCATTAAATTAATTGTTCTGAACAGAAATGCCTGTAGTCTTGCTCTTGTGTTCTCTTTCTTCCCACTGGAAAGTGTTTGCTGAAGTTCATTAGGGCACTGTTCTGTGAGACAAGATTAATTACCTCCAACTAATTGTTTTATAATTGATTCCTGAAACTACACATTATTGATCATTTGGTTCTGCTTTGCCTCTATTTGTGTATCATTATTGTAAAGCATAAGAAAACCTCTAATGGGATCACTTGTGATTATGTTGTTGCTGATGTCTTGGGGAAAGAAATGATTTCTCCTCTGGATTATATGAAATTTAAATTTAAATAGAGCAAAATGGCAAAAAACGACTCTTTGAGATGCAGGCAATAAAGCTTAGCAGCTCGTTAAGAGTGGCATCACTTTAAATTGTTCACAAGCATAGCAAGACAATCGCCTGCAGAAGCTCTCTGACATTTGGCATTGTTGAGTTCCCATAGTCAAGTTGCCATTTATCTGGATGTATCAAATCAATCTGGCTTTTCCTAAACCCAAGATGAAGTCTCCACACCATTATATCATAACAATCAAGCAATTCATTATTACCTCTTTGCCATCAGGCTAAATGAACAGTTTTACTTAATGAAGTTGATGTTTAAGTGAGCTTTACTTTTTCCTGGCTACAGGCCTGCATAACACCAGTCCATAAAAATCTCATTAATAAAATTATAAAAATTTGAAAATTATAAAAATCCTAAAATGCAATGGGATCTGCCAGCCAGCTATCTGTCATAACAATCAAAGTGCAGGCCAGTACTATCAATGACTCATCACATTGGCCATGGATTACTCAGAATCAAAGGTTTGTCTGAAGAGCCATATTTTTAGACTTACCTGGAAGGTCTGACAAGAGGGGGCTAATCTAATTTCCTTAGGGAGGGTATTCCAGAGCCAGTGAGCCACCACCGAGAAGGCCCTCTCTCTTGTCCCCACCAACCATGCTTGAGATGGTGGTGGGACCGAGATAAGGGCCTCCCCAGCAGATCTTAACGCCCGTGCCAGTTCACAGAAGGAGATGCAGTCTCAAAGATATTCCCTGTGTATATGTTATAAGAAACTACAATGGCTAAGATGATTTACATGAAAAGCCTATAGTCTCATTCAAATTCCACAATGTATCCACTCAGTTTCTGCCAGGACATGACAGAATTATAGCATTTAAATGGATATTGAGAGCCATGTAGTCCAACCTTTGGCCAGTGCAGGAATCCACAGCTATATTTTTTGAAATATACACACAAAGCCCAACTTGCTGACATTAATATCCTCCTCACCAGGCAATTTGCTTTTTATTGCATTGAAATAAATGGGAAACTTCCATGAAGACATCAAATAATAGATAAATATTAGTTATTTCATTACTAGATGTGGTCAACCTTCAGTTGCTTTGGATTTCCCTAGGTGGTGGTGGTGGTTGTTGTTATCTTTATTTCAGTCCTCCTCATAGGGACTCAAGGTGACTCAAATTAATAAGACACAATGTTGCTGAACTACAAGTCCCACCATATTTCACAATTGTCTATACTGGTTATGGCTACAAAGTGGAGTCCATGACTTGTAGGAAAAGAGCAAACCACAGACCACCTATTACAATGCAATCTGGGCCTTTCCACATGCACAATGGAGGAGCTTCTTACAGCAACACCAGAGGCACTCCCAAGTGGCCAGCTTCTGGTCAAAGGACATTTAGTATAATGCCAAGTTTATAACCTTTGTTTGTTTTTAAATACATTTTAACTGTAACCTCAATTTGTTTCTGACACATTAAATAAATAAATAACGAAGTAGTATTCCCCAAAGAAATTCTTCCACAGCCCTGCTTCCATGTTCCTTTGTCTTTCTTGCCCATTGCTCAGGAATTCCTAATAAAACAGCTGAATTCTGTAGAACATATTTTTGGACCATTCATGACAAGAAGAGACACATTGACAAAGCACTGCATTTTTTTGAAAAACAAACCAGAATTAAGTATATCTGAAAGCAGCTGGGGTTTTTTTTCTTTCAGAGGCCTGTGTAAGGACATTAATCTCAACCTCAGGCAACTCTATTAAGTCAATAGAGTCAGGTGACAAAATGGGAGGAGAAAACATTATAGCATCCATTGTTTTAAGAAATAAAAGAGCTTCTTTCTTATAAATTGAACAAGCTATTTAACTTCGAATCACTTCTCGAGTTCTGATTCCTTCTGTCAGGATTGCTTACTGTCATCTGGGGCGCAATCAGATTTCACAGCAAGTGAATTTAGAAAAGAAGACTGAAGTGAGAAAATGCAGAGTTTAAGGTAAATAAATACAACCTGTCACATAAAATATGCAGGTAAACTAGGTGTGCGATCTAGCTGCTGACATCGCCTAACAATTCAGCAATCCTTTTCAACTGCTCTTCCGAGAATTAATTCTATTCTGAGAATTAAATATTTGAGAATTAATTTTCTTGTAACTATAACAGAGCTTTTTAGAGTGATTTGTATCTCTGAGGACTAATTTAATGTTATTGTATGGGTGTGTTGTTATAGCTACTACCGTTAACAGTGATGTATTCCTATTCGTACTATAACTTGCTTTTGAATTTAGACTTAACACGGTGCTGTGAAATGATGCTGGTTGTGTTTTGTTGTTTACTATAGATTTCTCTATTTCAGGGTTTTTATAAGCGTGGCACTGTCAGTACAACTCATCCAACTGGGATATGGTAAGGAAATTGGTGATTTTAAAATATGCATGTGTAAACAAACTACAGATGCTTTGAATCATTCCTTTTTTAAAAGATTAATGAAAATATAATTTTGAGTCCCTTAATACTATAGCAGTAGAGAGCATCTCCCCATAGCAACTTTCTGGAATCCCAGGATACAGGATTTCTAAAAGGCAGGTGCCTTTCAGATGGCCTTATGATCAAGTAAACCAACAGAAGGATGAGGAAATATCTATCTGCCCTGAATCCAATTTCTGCTGTAAGAACTGGCCATAATTGAATTGCTGAGACCTTGCTTGGCAGACCTGCCTAGCAGTAACAATCTGTTGACAGGATCGAAATGTAATAAGATATAAATTTTTTAAAACACCAGGAATTACATTATATCTGATGTTAAATTAAAACGGTTATAAAGAGGAACTTCAGTGTTTGGTTCCTAGATCATAGAATTGGAATAGACCCATGGACCATCGAGTCCAAACCCTTGCCAAGAAGCAGGAAAATCTCATTCAAGGCACCCCCGACAGATAGCCATCCAGCCTCCACCATACTCCGAAGCAGAGAGTTCCACTGCTGAACAGTTCTCAAAGTTAGGAAGTTCTTCCTCACATTCAGGTGGAATCTCCTTTCCTGTTGTTTGAAGCCATTGTTCCGTGTCCTAGTTTCCAGGACAGCAGAAAACAAGCCTGCGCTCTCTCCTCCGTATGACTTCCCCTCACACATTAATACATGGCCATCATGTCTCCTTAGTCTTCTCTTCTGCAGGCTAAACATGTCCAGCTCCTTAAGCTGCTTCTCATAAGGCTTGTTCTCCAGATCATTTTAGTCTCCCTCCTCTGGATACATTCCAGTTTGTCAACATCTCCTTTCAATTGTGGTGCCCAGAATTGGACACAGTATTCCAGGTGTGGACTGACAGAAGGCAGATGTAGATAATCTTTTGATTTTTCTAATTAAATAAGGGTATATGTTTTCTTATGATTGAATGTTGTGTTGCTTATGGACACTGAAATTACAACTTCGCCATTACTGTGGATTTGACATGTTTCTTCTCTTTAAAGCTTGCGAAGGAGAGAACTGTGATAACCACTCAAATCACGAGAAGCAGAATACACCCTTGGAAACTTTTAATATTTTGAATAATCTCAATTCTGAGAAGAAGGACAAGCCTTCCAATGTTTTGCCTTTCATTGGGATCACAGATGGTAGGTGGTTTGCTGTATGAATATCTATATATTTATTTTCTTGTAAAAAAAACTGCTCAAAGACATTTGTTAAAAATGATAGATTCCTTAAACTGAAATATACTCATTCAGAAGTTGATAGCTGTTATCATACTGACTGATACAAACTGTCATAAAAAGACAGATATTCACTAAATACTTGGGATAATGCTTTGAACTAGATCAACAAATACATTAGGGCAGCAAAAATTGTTTGCATCAACCTACATGTGTATGCATGCCTATACATATAAAAGCCCAAAAGATTAAAAAAATGCATTAGCCCCTCAATATCTTCTGGGGTTTGGTTCCAGGATCCCACATGGATACCAAAATAAGTGGATGCTCAAATATTACATATAATAGTGACCCTTATATAAAATGGCTAAATCAAGCTCCATTTTTAATTTTTAAATATTTTGAAGATGTGGGTGGTTAAATTTGTGGATGTAGAATCTGTGAAAAAGGGCTCCCTGGTGGAGCAGCGGGTTGATCTGCTGCACTGCTGAACTTGCTGACCAACAGGTTGGCAGTTCAAATCCAAGGAGCAGGGTGAGTTCCCACTGTTAGCACCAGCTCTGCCAACTTAGCAGTTCGAAAACAATGTGAGCAGATCAACAGGTACCGCTTCTGCAGGAAGTAACTGTTCTCCATGCAGTCATGCTGGCCACATGACTTTGGAGGTGTCTATGGACAACGCCAGCTCTTTGGCTTAGAAATGGATATGAACCCCACCCCCCAGAGACTGACATGACTAGATTTAATGTCAGAGGAAACCTTTACTTTTTCTAATCTGCGGATACAGAGGGCTAGCTGTAATACAAGCCTATCAAAAAGAGAACTCAGAGATGCAGCTACCAAGAGTTCAGCAAATTGAGGTCATTGTTCCCCATACAAGAATTCCGCTGACAAATAAGAATTCCCCCATGATGATATTTTCATTCAACCATAAATTTCTAGTATTGCAGAAATTGGGACTCCAGAAATCATCTTAGAATTCTTGTATTTTCTGTTCACCTTTCTTTTTTAACCTTGTTCAGTCCTTTTCTCTGGATTCCACAAAAAAAACTGGAAACCCTTCTCCTGATCCCTTCAAGTATGTTTAGTTTAAAAACTTGCATATACTCATTCGGGCCTACTTCAGGGATCATGATAACTTTAAGCATAATACAACCACATCTCACTCTTCGATATGAGAGTTATTATTTTATTTTTCTATGATCTTGATTCCAGCCAGCAAACTGACCAAACACTGCTGTCACAATGGAGGAACGTGTTTCCTAGGGACCTTTTGTATTTGTCCAAAGCACTTCACTGGAAGGCATTGTGAATATGACACGAGAATCAGGTATGTAAAATGCATTGTGTATCTGAATGAAATATTTTAAAGCAGGAGTGTCTCCTAGAGAATTAAAAAAAATAATGGAAAAATCCTTGAAAACGCCTATCTGGGAATAGTGGGAAACATATTTTTCTCATGTGTATCTCAATTTTTTAGGAACTGTGGTGCCCTTGGGCATGGCGAGTGGTCTCAGGAAGGATGTCAACTGTGCCGGTGCATTTATGGAACCATGGACTGTTTTACGCAAACTGGATGTGGTAAGAGAGCATCATTCCATCATTCCACACACACACACTAATATATCTCTATCTCTCTCTATCTCTTCTCTCTCTGGCTTTTCCTTTATGGATCCCCCTGGTGGCACAGTGGGTTAAACCACTGAGCTGCTGAACTTGCTGTTTGAAAGGTTGGTGGTTTGAATCTGGGGAGCAGGGTGAGCACCCGCTGTTAGGCCCAGCTTCTGCCAACCTAGCAGTTCAAAAACAAATGTGAGTAGGTACCACTTCTGTGGAAAGGTAAAGGCGCTCTTCAGTCACACTGGCCACATGACACCCCCTAGAGTCAGACACGACTAGACTTAATGTCAGGGGAAGCCTTTATCTTTACAATACACACACACAGAGAGAGAGAGAGAGAGAGGCTTGAACAGGCTGAACTGCCAGACTCCCAAGCAAATGAAAAGAAGTTTCTTGGGTTAACAATAGAGTTTCTCCTCTTCTGAGAAGGCTGGAGATGGAACTAGAAGAGCAGACCTGTTTAGGAGAATTCATACAGAGCAAAATGTTGAATTTCTAGCATAACATTTCAGAACATCAAAAGGCAAACAAGCAGCACTAAACTTGTACACTTGTCAAATGTACTTTTGTATCCAAATATGCATTCTTAAGCACAAGTTTAGATTTCCAAAGGAAAAGAGACTGTCAACAATTCTATTCTAATTATGAGAGTTTCAGCTAGAAGAGCTAGACTCACTGCCTTTTGACCAGAACAGAAAGAAACGAGGAGGAAATAAGAGAAAGATGAGTTGTTTGGGGTGACAGAAAATATTTTCCTAAATACATTGAATATCCATGTCTGCACATTACTATCTAGAGTTGATTAAATGGAAAGCCAGAGAGAGAAGACTTTGTTAGAGGCACGGGAAGCTTTATACAGTTATACCTCAATTGATGAAGTATATGGATTCCTAAGCAATACAGTCAGCTCTCAATATTCATAGATTTTGGTTCCATTTGTTCAACCATCCACTGCTTAAAAACAGGCTAATCCAATTCACTCTTTCTCATTGTTTTGCTGCTCATGCTCAATAAAGTATTCCAGAGGTAGCTCTTGTTTAGCTTCTCTGTTTTACACATAACTACAGTAGGTTTGGCTACAACAGAATCCCATTCTTTCCCAGATTAAATCTTTATTGCATTGTTTCCTGCAGATAACACAATTGCAACCTAGCATTGATAGTTTGTGGTTCTCCAGCCCTCTTTCGCAATCTCTCAGTGTCAATCCTAGAAGTGGGGGGGGGGGACTTCTCGCTAGATGAAGCAGGAAAAGTGGGACTGGGAATGCCTGAAAAGTTGGGGGGGAAAGAAAACTGATGGTCTTTGTTAACTGAGGTATCCTTTAGTGTTTGAGCATTTCCTTTGTAGTAATATAATAGTCGCAGTAGTAAATAATAAATAATAATAATAATAATAATAATAATAATAATAATAATAATAATAATATGGAGGCAGGAGCATGAAGGCTCACACTCTAAATGGCACTTAGATTATAGACTTATGTTAAGTAAACAGAGGAAGACTGTCACCTAGGTGGGAGAAGCTGAACTTACTGGACAGCTGCCTGTCATAGAGGACTTATCAACCCATCATCCACCAGTCAGAATATGTTGTCTTTAATATAGACAGACATTAACTGCTCATCTTTTTTTTAACACAGATATAACTTCTCCCAGTTGACCAAATATTCAGTGGACTCCTGATAAATAGTAAGTAAATCACCCACAGATGTTACATTTATTTGCCCAAGAGTTTGTATAGGCACAGACATGTGATTTCGTGTGTTCATAGCAAAAGAAGAAACTAAGATTGGTTGCTCCTTTAACTATTTGGGCAACAAAATGTCACCAGTTGAAGTTCTTTCTCTCCATCACAAGGATATAAAGAGAACTGGAAAGGAGATATTTAGTATGTATGTAACTCATGTAACTCATTGAAGGAATTGGAATTATTTCAGGGGTTGTACCTAGCTACCCAAGTATAATTTCCATGAAACCTCTTTACACAATTACAGCACTTGGATACCACTTTGAACTAACATATAGAATTCCGGGGTTTGTAACTTCATAAGGTATTTAGGGAGCTGCAAAGTTCAGAAGATTGCAATAGAGAACTCAATGTACCGTAACAAACTATAGATCCCAGAATCCTGCAGGATGGCAGTATGGTGAAAAGTGATGTCAACAGCTGTAGCTACACCCAAAGTTAATATTTGTGCATCAGGTTCAAGCAATCCAGGGCAGAAATTAGATTTGAAAATCATGGGAAAATTTATGACAAATATAACTAGTGATAGTTGATAGTTGATAGATCAGACATGGGCAAGGTTCAGCCCTCCAGTAGGTTGTTAGGAAATATGGGAGGTGAAGTCCAAAACACCTGGAGGGCTGAAGTTTGCCAGTGTCTGTGATAGCTCCACTACTTGTATCCATACTTTAAAATGCTGTCTAAGGTGCTGAACCCCTTCTGGGCATAGAGTTCAGAATTTTTGATAGCTTCATTGAAATTCAGGCTGATACCTGGGGCAGTTTAACCACCTCCATCCTGACCTCAAAATCATCAAGTATTGCTGAACATACATTGAGTGCTTACTTCAAGCATTTATTACACAGCTCACAAACATTAATCCAATCTAAATGACTTGGTTCTTAAAGCCAATGTGGTGTAGTGGCTTGAGCATTGGACAATGACTCTGGAAACAAGGGTTCAAATATCTACTCAGCCATGGAAACCTACTGGATGACTTCAAGTGAGCCACACACTTGAGCACCCAGAAAACCCCTTGATAGGTTGACTTTTGAAGGCACGCAAGAAGAAACCTTAACTAGCCTGCACTTGCTGTAGTGGGGAGGTATGGATGTTCTGAAGGAGATGACAAACCAGGGAGAAAGGGGGCAGGAGAAATGGATCCTACCTTTCCTACTGACTGCAAGCTGGGTTTCCAAAATATGTCTCATTGCCAAGATTACAAGATGACATCTACTTTCTCTGATCCTCTTGGCACTTATTAAAGATTTAGTAACAGCAAATGGGAAATGGCATGTGTGTGGAAGTTGTATTATTGTATTCCTTCAAGTCATTTCCAATCTATGATGATTCTAAAGCAACCCCTGGGTTACTTTGGCAAGATTTTAAAGAGGGTGTCTGCCTTTGTCTCTTTCTGAGGCTGAGACTTTGTGACTTGCCCAGTGGGTTTCAGGACTGAGCAATACTTCAAACCCTGGCACCCAAAGTTATAGTCCAATACTCAATGCTTTCTTCCCCTGGAAATTATATACTCCAAATAAATCATCTTTTATGCATTGAGTCTCAAACTTAATACAATAGTGGCTTCTTTAAAAAACCAGGGTAAGCAAATTACTATCCAGATGTTTTTGAATTGTCCTATTCAGTATAGGTAATGGCAAGATACACAAGAGTGGGAGGATCAGACTCCTTTAATCCGTATTTTGAACAGCCTGAATCAATGTGCATTAAAAAAATCAGAGGCTAAAGATACTTAACCTGTGACTGATCACTTACTAAAGTCTTAATTTGTTACTATGATCAAATGGCTATGTACTCGTTTTATGGGAAACAAGAGTTGCAGACTGAAATTCTTGTCTTTTGGGTCCACAATGAATATCTTTTGAACTCACTGTGAAAGATATACTCCAACCCTCCTCAAAATACTAATGTGGGCACTATAAATCCCATCAGGGAGTCCCCTCAAGGAGATAGGACAGAATACAGATGATGATGACCAATGTAAAATAGTGGGAATTCTGGACAAAAAGGTTGGATATTGGGAAGGACAATCTGTTTGTTTGCAATGTTTTTGATGCTCATTTTGATACCATAAAAGAAGAATAAACCAGAGAAATAAAGAACAGCTTAACATTTAATTACCAATGACTTACTGTTAAAGTTGGGCTTTCTTCACATATCAGAAGTCTTTGAGATCAGAATTAATGCAAACTACAGAAAGCAAGCCATAAATGTAAGATTAAAATTAGAGTAAAATGAAATAGTCAAACACTTTCTTCATAGTCTATAATCTTTTATTAAAGCACTTATTTCTGCTATAGCACAGTAAAATTGCTGGGTAATTATTTTCATTCATAAATTCTCCATGAACACACTTAGACAGGTTTAGTGGTAATTTACCAGATGTTCTCAAAGATTACTTTTACAAAAATATTTTACTGCTACATGAGTAAAGCTTTCTCTTCACTAATTGAGACTCCATTAGGAAGTAGCATGGCAAAGTTAATATATATGTTACTTTGCTTTTAAATAGGGGACTATTTGAAACTATTCTCTGGAAATAAAAGAACATGTTGGCATAAGATCTGCATGTTTAGACCGTGAACCTGTCACAAGTATGTAGTTGGACTCTTATCAAGGAAAACAGTTGCATGGTTGACTTATAGAATCATAAGAGTGGGAAGAGTCCACAAGGACCTTCCAGTCCTACCCTCTGCCATGCAGGAATCGCACAATTAAAGCACCCACAACAGATGGAAGTCTGTTTAAAAGCCTCCAAATAAGGTTCCTCCACCCTACTCCAAGGCAGTTAGTTCCACTGCTGAACAGCTCTTGCAGTCAGGCAGTCCTTCCAAATATTCAACTGGAATCTCCTTTCCTGTAATTTGAACCCATTGCTCTGAGTCATGGTACTTCATCACGCTAAAGCAGACATGGGCAAACTTGGGCCCTCCATGTGTTTTGGACTTCAACTTCCACAATTCCTAACAGCCTACTGGCTATTAGGAATGGTGGGAGTTGAAGTCCAAAATACCTGGAGGGCCCAAGTTTGCCCATACCTGCACCAGAGCATCTGTCCACTTTAAATCCAATTGCTTCCTTCTGCAGAATTCTCTGGCTGAGCAGTTTAAAGGCCCCAATTTTTGCCTCTTCTATCATGTTTTTCTGTAGCAGAAATTTGCATCCCAAATCTGCCAATAACACTATTCATGCTTTCTAGGGAATAAAACACATTTATCATATTGGTGCTTCCTCCTGAGTAAACAAGTCTAAGATT